AATTCCCTACTATTAAAGTCTTATATTTCTTCTTATAATCTCCTAACTCAGCTAAGAATTACTTTAATGACTACATATTTCGTTGGTTAGGGCCACAATGATTAGCTTATTAACTGTATTGGGAATCGGCCACGATTTGACAAAGCCACATTAAACAGTCTCTTTTATAATATTTTTGTGTTTCTGCTATTAGTTACATTTATTAAGAGATGCTGACTCAAGTTTCAGAGCCACAGCAATCCCTGGCCTCATGTAACCATACATAAAATAATCACCCCAAAGAGGCTCCATGAAGACCAATTAGGAAAAGATAACACTGTTATGGGATGTTTTACTAAGATTGAGCTCTGATAATAATTCTTTCAGACGAGAAAAGACACAAATTAGTTAACATCATTTTTCACTCAAGGTACTCTTCAAAGCCTTTATGATCGCGATATTTTATGTGGAATGTGTCTTGTTCTTGGACTATTACCTAAGCAGTTTCTTGAAGTGGTTGTTGGTGATGAATGAAGTACTGAATATCTTTGCTTTTTGTTCTCAGGCTTTATCATTAAATAAGGAGACCTTGAAGACCACTTCATTAAATAAAACCCACTACTAATATCAAAAAGTTAATTGCAAATTAACATTATCATTTTAAGTCCCCTATTTATACATATATTTTTCCTGTAAGATGTATAAATATCATTTTGATACATCGGTTACTATATCACTAAACCAGTATAATGTAGTTGGAAGCAGATAGGAGTGATTATTAATGCATTTGTCAGCTTAAAGTAAAGTTGCTACAGGTATGCAAAATCACGTTTAAAGAAATTAAATCAATGTTCAATGCAATACAATCACTTGCAATGCACGGTGATATATCAGACAAACTCTTCATGCATGTAAACAAAACTAATTTGTTTGTTTTTCCATTAAAATCAACTTGGAGTCATTAATTATGATGGCAGAATTTTGTAAAATGATAACAAAATATCATCCTTTCATTAAAATACAATTCCAGTGAAAATCAGTCATTGATTATATTGAATTATTGCCCAGCCCGACTAGTTCCATTTGAGGTGTTAAGCATATTTTATCAGGTTTGTTTTGAAGTAAAGAGAGTCAGAGTTAGTTTATTCACCATAAGATACACCAACTAATTATAAAATGTTTTATTCGAATCTTTTATATTAAGTATATGTCCTTCAATTACGTATTAAGGAAGTCCATAAGTCTTACATAATAACACCTGCTGATAGAACGGCTCCCCTCCTGGCTGACTCACATTTGGTCAATTATCAGTTAACTCTGAATTAAAACTCATCAAGCTCAAGACATTTTCTTTTTCTTTCTTTTCCTTTTTTAAAAAATTTTATCTTCTGCCGCCGTGGTTCTGCATGACTAACAGGTAATAAATTGCGGTTCGCCCTTGGAGGACTGGCTAGTGGTGAGCGATTGTCTGTGAGAGAGCGCGGTACAGGGAGGAAGCAGATGCCATGTCAGCAGAGCAGACAGTATCAGAGAGCAGACTGTGATGGAGGCTGGAAGCACAAAACGCACACATTTTTCAAACAGGGTGCATTCAGTTTCGACTCTGCACTGATACGCAATCCTGAATGTTTTTTGTCTCTGATTAAAAGTGGAATCTGACAAACACGGACAGCACTGGTGCTGCTTTTCAGTTTTGGGGCTCTTGAACTGAGGCAGAGCCACAAGGAGCTTTGCATTATTCAGCAGTAGCATCTTTGACTCATAGGCCCTTCATGTGAAAGCAGGCAGGCCAGTGCCGGGTAATTATAACAATAGATTAATATTTACAAACCAAATGTGACGCAGCAAGTGGCCGGTAGGAACTGGCCTTCTGTTCTCTGCAACCAAACTAGCCAAAGTAAAGCCTGCTACTTCCCTCCTCATTCAACACCTTATCTACCGGTATCCACACTGACTCTCAACACAAACTATTTTTGAAAAGCGTCACGGTGGCTTAATGCACAATTTCTGCCCTAAATATGGCAGCTTTGTACTTGTTATGCCCCCCCAAGGCAACAGCATTTTCAGTGCATGACATCTTCCCAAAGCAGCTCTGACTCACAGAGCAAAATGTCAAGACAAAGGTTATCAGGCTTCTTCATTACTGCCACACTGAAACAAACCTCAGGAGAGCGTCGCCTTGTTCTTGTACATGCTGGAACACGTGAGGCCTTCCACTGACCTCCATGGGTCTGGATGCAAGGCATGGTTTACCGCCTTGGGTGTCCCTATCTTGTCAGCTTCCTTCAAAACCTGCTCTGATCTTGATACTGTAGCCCTTTGAGACAGGACTGCACTGCACAAAATGTTCTCGGCAAGAAACTTAATCGGGTATCGATTGTTAGCATCTCATTTTCCTAAACAAAGATAGGAAAATTAACAGCAAGGTTAGATTATTACACAAAATGTAACATCAATTTCTAGCGAAAAGTAAAGGAATATTGGCAGATTTGTATGATTAAAACACATTCTAGGGTTCAGTCTTGCTGTGATGGACATTTTTTACAGTGTGCATGTTGCCCTTCAGCTGGGAAGGGTCCTTGGTGTAGTACTGTATAATAACACGGCACAGAAGAGCACAAGTGGAAAAAAACAGCCAACAGACAGATTTCATTCAAGCTCTTCCTGAATCCTCTACCAAAGTCTCTGTCTTGGAGTTCAATCAAACACCTGATCTTAAACAGGGACACATGCAGGCCTCTGTTCTTTCTGTACACCAGACAGTAACGTCTCTTCCCTTCTAATGTGCTTCGGGATGTCCTGAGTCCCAGAGCAGTCCCATCTTGCAAACACAAATTGCCGGAAAGATGCGATAGACAGACACAAAATGAAAATTCGCCCAGCACAGACCTGCAGACCAGAGTACAGATACATTACAGCCGCCTTAGAGTGCTCTCCATTATCGAATTCATAACCACAATGGTTCATTACCACTGTGAGTAAATAATAATAGAGGTGGCCTTTAACTGAGAGGGGCTGAAATGAGAGGACAATTAGACTGCTTTCACAGAGCCCTCGCCTGCTCTCTGCTTACACGATAAAGCTCCAATTCTATCATAATCTATTTGTCAAATCAACCCTTTAAGTAGGAGTGCTCACATATTCTTCATGACAGCGTAACAAATTTTCCTCTAAAAATACACTCACAAGGGCATGCTGCTCAGATGCAAAAATGTGTGTCAAGTGTGAGGGAACAAATAACATCTGTAGTCTGATTTGCCGCGCTATCCTTGTTTTTTCCACTGATGGGAGAGAATCTGTCACCTATTCTGAGCACAGAGTGAATTCTGTGCGTGATTAAAAGAACTTATTTTGCATGTGTGTAACTTAAAGTGACATTTTGTCATCTAAAAAGAATATATTAAGAGGTAATAGTTTCAAAAGTGAAGGTAATTCTGTGGAATCATCAGAATAATCTCTTCAAAAAGACATTGTGCATTATGCCTGGGGGGTGCTTACCTTTTGGTAGGAGTAGGTGCCCCAGAGGACATGAGCATTGTGTCGTTCATGTTGTTGGCCACTGGTTTCGGCTGACTAAAAGACAAGATTAGAGGTCTTTAATGCTACACTGCAGATGCCTGTGGTGCTTGTCACCAGGGAATGGAGTAGAGGGCATTTGCATTTTATTAGCAATCATGAATCAGCGATCTTGACGGCAATTTAATCCAACTGTACAAAAGAGGGTAAGAGAGGAGGCAGGGGGGATCATTATAAACTACTGAGTGTGCTGCACAAAATAGGCAACATGTTGTACTTGAGTTAAGTTAAAATTGTAGTGAAATAATTGACTTTTCCGGGAACAGCAATTTAAATGTTTTTAGGGCAATTAGCTTAAATCTAATTAACATGAGCAAGAGCAACAACAGCAGACAAGAAATCTAATTAAACTGGAAGTCTGTGAAAAACTAGGAAAGGTGACATTGTAGGAGGTAATTTGTGAGAGTAAACAAAGCCATGGGGTCCATCTGGCAGCTGAATCAGTGGCCCCGGCAAGCTCATCGGAGCCCAAGCCCCCGGACCACAGAGTCTCATTAAGAGGATCAAAATATCACTCTGCACATCTCAGGTGATCTCAGCTTCACACTTCACCCGGCGCAGGAAATAGCAGGCACTCACGACAGCACTCGATTTCCATGTCTCTGTAGTTGCATCTCTTCCATCTGCACATAGTATCTCTTTGTAGTTTATCAGCCTTGATTTTATTGTAACAGTTTTATTTAAAGCGCTCATTACCACATAAAAGGCAAAGCACTGAACAGCATCGTGTCCTATTATGCTTATTTGTCCAATCAGCATTTCTGACCAAAATCAAACTATTTATATCCACATTGTGCAGAATACTGTTATCAGCATCAGGCACTGAAAGCCTTTTTTTATGCTACGGTGCCACAAAGTGCCTCAACAGCAATCATAACATTCTGTATATTTTTGTCCTACTAAAAAACAAAAATAAGAGCAAGAGAAACTGCATAATTTTTAGATCAACTTAATTGTATTTTCCAAACATTTGAGGCCATCGTCAATTGATTCAACAAGCTCGAATTTCCATACTTCCCGGCCATATCTATGTGAGAGTAAGCTGCAGTGGTTGCTTTTAGCGTGTTCTTTTTAAAGACAAACTGCAATTATTTATTAGTCCATAAATTTGAATTTCTCTCAGGACAAGCCTAACAGATTCAAAAGAAAACCGTGGACAGTCCTGCATGAGTAATTCATCAATCCTAATTTTTAAGTTCCAAGGTCCATTTGCACAAACACAATCCTGCTAATTCTTATGTTTAAAGCAGTAACATAATAACATGAAAAAGAAAAACAACTGTCACTACTCAAACATGCACATGCTGCCTTGTAGTCCCCCTTCACAGACAGACTGTGAGCACAAACACACCAAGTAAAAGCCCATGTGAAAAATGTTTACCTCTCGTTTATCGCTCATTATATTACAATAATCCACCCCAAAGGTGAAGAGCTCCAGACGGAAGAGGCACCACACTTACCTCTTTGAGGAGAGAAAGCACCTGTCTGGCTGGCAAAATACATCCAACTGCTGCTGTTGCCAGATGCCTAATCTGCCCTCAACTGAGCAGGCGAGCATCTCAATGTACTACACTGCTGCTGTCTCCAAGGAAACTCGGCGGTCACGTGACTTTATGACGACGTAGATTCCTCTCTCTCTCTCTCTCTGTCTTCTGAAGGCCTCTCTGCTCTGAAGACCATGACTTTTTTTTTTCTAACCTCATCATCTAAAGCATAAATACACACTTGAAATTAGGGAAAAAGCCATTTGCTACCAAGTAAAACAAACAAACAAAAAAAAAACTCAATTACAGCCTCTAAAAAAAGCCCAAATCTATTCTCATTCTCTCAGGAGAAAAGCGTGTAACAAACTGGCCTATACTAAAGTCTATACTATAATTGCATTTACATGTCTTCAGTGAGTTACATAAGTCAAAGCTCTTCATAGCCATCTTTCTATAAATAATCATCAGTCCTTTTCAAATACACCAATATAACTGCTGTGAAACAGCAGGGCGCCATAAAAGAAGAGCTTCTTCTTATGTAAAAGCTTGACAGCAGAAGTATTTCATTTTCCTCTTAGAATTTGGATTAATCCTAACGGGCGTCCTAACTCATTCCCGTCAGTGTCTGCAGCTTCGTGGTTCACTGACTGAAGAAATGTTGATTAAGGACGCGCAGTCCAGTCATTCAGCCGGTGCCTCAGAGGTCAAATGGGAGTGAATTGACACAACATTTAGGCACTAAGAGATCAAAGTCTGCATTGCGCTATGCCTCATGCTACCTGCGTGCAGTGAATGACAATGTGCCACCCTTTCCTTGTACTTGGTAGTTGGCAGGGGTACAGGGAAAATTAAGTCTGCAAGAGCTTTATACACACACACACACATTCACCTTATTTCTGACAACGACGGATGCATGGCTGCCTTCAATTGCCCTCAGCCGGCTAAAAATAATACGCAAACATGAAGCATCCTCTCCTGCTGGCAAAGGTGCTCCTATTTCCCCGGGAGGCTGTCAGTACCTCGGCCATAAAAAAAACCCAATGGATCACACTCCCAGAAAAGTGAATTACATGCCTGTTCTCTCCGTTTTAATGACATTGATGGAATTTGCATTGACCCGGAGAATAAAAAAAGATAAAACAGAAGAAGGCCTTTTTAAATATGTTAAGGTATTTCTGGGGATTATATAAAGAGTGGAAAATTGGTTGCTAAATATTAAACATGGCATTGAAAATGTGACGCTATAGTGTGTGTTCCACATTAATGCAAAGTACGGTAAGATGCCTATTTTCGACTCCCAGACTATTTCGGTGCTTAAAGTGTTTTGGCAGAAGCGGTGCTAAGTCTGAAGGTAAGAAGCCGTATCATAGATTTAAAGTTCCTGAGACAGACGGTGCATCCCAAACCTATAACTCCTCTCCAAAACACAAATCCCCAAGAATCTCGCTGACAGTTTGAGTGGAGGGAGAAATTCACAGCTCAGCTCGCTGTTAGTCTTTGCTTTCAAACGCCAGTAAATATTTCAAAACAGTATCAGAATAGATACACTTTGTCTGAAGACGGTGCGAGGGGTTGGACAACTGGGAGACTCATGTCCGTTCGATTTGGGATTTTTGATCAAACCTGACGCTCTACCCTGATTCTGCCATTATTACTCACTCACAGGCGCTTCGTCAGCCTCTCACACAAACACATACACACCTGAGACACCACGCTGATGGATGTCTCCTGGTTCACAACATTAAATAACACCTCTTCACAGAGAACATTCATCAGGATTGGCAACTAGCTGCACTACTTTTAGAATACCAACAGCACATTTCTCTCCCTGCTATATACCATCAATAAAATGAAGTCAATGTAGAATAAAATTGGAGGCTTGGCAGTTTTCCTGTGACTAATTATCTGAGGGGTCCAGTTTGAGGGAAGATTTCTGTAGCCAGCAGGGAAATCAACATGGGAATGGTAGGCGGAAAATTACTGTATTCACCCATAATTTCTCTGAAATAGGCCGTTAACTAATGGGAATTATTCCATTAGTGCCAGCTCGTCCTTCCATGGCTACAAAGAGTGCAGTCGGATTAAAGTAATGGTCCACTTTCTGGGAATTACGCTCATTTGCTTCCTTGCAAACAGTCAGATGAGATGATCGATACCACTCATATCTAGCTGGTAAAT